GCGATGCATAGGAGCGTGCGGTCGGCGAATTCGTTAATGATCGTTTGTTGGATTGCGTGGTCTGTGGAGTAGTCGATGGATGCTGAAAGAATATCAGTATCGCGCACGGTTAGGGTGACCGCATGGCACTTGGACTCACCAGTTGCCTCGTCGAGAAGAATGATGCGCGAATCCTTGACCAATGCGCGGGCGAAGCTAACCAGAGAACGCTACGAGAAGTCAGTAACAAGGTCCAAATATACGACTTGCAGTACTTACCTGGCCGACAGACAAGTTGGTCCCTCCGGCATCAATCTCCGTGTCCAGCGTCAACTTCCGATGACCATCGCTCGCATCGCTACCTTGCTTCTCGTCCAGCGAAGACGTTTCTGACTTCTCTGATTGAACAAGGCAGGCTCGCTTGAGTGCCGCCCACAGAGTAGGGTCGTCGTAGAGTCCGAAGGGGTCGAGATTGCTGCGCATGGTACCGTTGAATAGGAGAGGATCTTGCGGAATGACTGGCGATCACAGTTAGTAAAAGATCAACGGCATACAGAGAACTGACGTACTTGACAGCTTGCTCCTTAGAGCACGCAGACCGATCTTTGAAACATCCACACCGTCAATGACCAGACGACCAGAGAGGAGCTCGATGATGCGGAACATCGTGAGAGTAACTGGCATTCGGATCAGCAAAATGATGTTTCAACGGTAAGTGCCACGACGTACTCGTGCTCTTCCCAGCTCCAGTCCTACCAACGATACCTATATGCTCTCCGCTTTCGACGTGCATAGAGACGCCCTTGAGAACGGGTGGCAGTCCTGGGCGGTATGCAACGACCATATCCTCGGCGACTACGTCACCAGTCGTTGGCCAGTCTTGAGGCGGGTCGTGCTCTGGTATATCGTAGGGCGCCTCTTGTTCCACGTGGTTGGCGTAGTAGAGAATGCGCTCGATACCATTCATGCTGTTCTCGACCTCCGCAGTTTGGCGCACTAGCCAGGCGAACGACTGAAGGGCGCGTCAGCGACTACAGACTCATATACCTGTATGATGACATACCTGCTGAACGACAAGCATGTACGATAAGACGACACCGGTCTCCGCTGGGTTGAGGGTAGTGCGGGTGCCCACAGTGAGCATCGCAACCGCGAAGATAGACAGAGAGCCGATGAAGTCGAGACGTGTGCTTAGCCAGCGCTGATTAGAGACCGACAACCAGTAGGCGCTAGTGATGGGCGCCCGTGTTAGATAGTAGAGATTGTTCAATGATGAATAACATACCGGTTCTCATCATCGATGCGGAAAGTGTTTTCGTTGACAAAGCGCGGGGTTTCCCCATATGCGCGAATCTAGAGTAGGGGTATGAATATCGGGTGGGGTAAACGAGTCAAGACGAGGAGACTCGCCGTCGAGAGGCCGGACATCGCTTCGGAGAAGTGAGCATACAGAGAGGAACGAAGGATGGCGTCCAGGCGCTGTGGATAACTGAGCACAAGCGTGTGAACGAAAAGACGGCAGGCACTTACTTTAAACTCTCGCGAGCTCGCCCTGTAGAACAGCGCCAGATAGTGATACATGAGACAGATCACAGCGATAGCGATGAGGAACCAAGGCAGAGATACAGACACAAGTACAATGGATCCGATGGACTGCACGAGAGTGCCCATGAGCATGCGCACTGCGTCGCTGATCACGTTGTCGATCAAATCGACGTCTTTGCTGAAGCGGTTCATGATCGTTCCCAAGAACGTAGTGCTACACGAATGCGTCAGTGAAAGGAAGCCATGGTGGGGAGCAGTCCACATACTCGAAGAACGAGGAAGGCGCGTGCATGACACGTTCAAGAGCATTCTGAACAAAGTTGAGACATCGCTTGTGGGGAGGAGAAGTGACAACTTACGCGATGAAGTGTCCGTGAAGCGTTGAAGGAGAAGATTGCGAAGACGCTGCCCATGAAGAACAGGCCGAGCGCTTGGGCCACACCAAGAACAGTGTAGATGCCCATCTACTTGACGTGAGAAAGTGGCGCACGAGGTACATTGAGGCGAAGACGTACGTAGAAGCCCTGGGGACGATCAAACTGACTAAATGTTCTTCAGTACTCAATGCGCTGCGAGAGGAAGGTAGGAAACGTACTCGTCTTGCCAGAACACGAGCCAGTAAGGACTGAGGACACTAGAACCTTGGAACACCGTGATGGACGTGATGAGTAGTGGCAAGATCAGAGCCATGCGTCCAGCCTGGAAGTACTCCTTATACGCTGTATCACTCTTGGTCAGCTCGCGAACAACAGTAATAAGCGCATATATGCGCACTTTGCCAGCCAACAGAGCCCTTGTAACGCTCCTCCGCTTGCATGAGCGCCGCAGCAGGTTGAACCTTCTTCTTCTCGACCTCTCCCTTCTCCTCATCCTGCTTCACCTCCTCCGCATTTGACTGTTCTCCGACAGCCTCGTTGGTGCCGAAGTTCTTGATGAGCGTGCTGAAGGTGCCTCCTCGTGCGATGAGATCATCATATGCGCCCTCTTCAACGATCGCGCCGCGGTCGAGAACGAGAACCCGGTCGACGCTAGGAAGGAAATGGAGCGCATGGGTGACGAGGATGCGTGTGCGACCGTGGAGAGAGCCCATGATTGCGTTGCGGAACACGGCGTGGCCGACATGAGCGTCGAGAGCGGAGAAGGAGTCATCAAAGAGCGTGATGGGCGCATCAAAGTACAAGGCGCGCGCGATGTTGATACGCTGTTTCTGGCCGCCGGACAGCGAAATGCCCTTCTCACCAACCATGGTACGGTCCCCATCGCTATGTATGATGATCAGCGGCTGCAGCGGGCGCCCATCAGTAGGAGACGTACGTGAACATGTCGAAGTCAGGCAATAGGCAGGTCTCACGGCAGACGCGCCAGTACTTCTCTTCGTCCCACGGCTGGCCAAATGTGATGTTGTCACGAATAGAGCAGCTCTTATATGACGGTTTAGTCACATTACGACTCAGCTATACCGTGTGAACATACCTGGATCCACGCCACTTGAGGGCAGTACGCCACCTTACCGCCGAAGACGACCGAGCCAGTGGTCCGAGGCATCTCTACACGGGCCGTCAGTACCCGCGTACACGCTGAGAGCAGCCACACTCACCTCCAATGAGGCCTTGCAAGAAACTCGACTTGCCACTGCCGACGGGACCAACAATGGCCCAGAGCGCGCCGTATGGGACGGTGAGCGAGACATCACGAATCTGGAACGTCGACTTCGGGGAGCTCGCTGGGGCCTTTTCGTCCACCTTCTCCACAGCGGCATCAGGAGTAGGCCGCTTCCCCGGGCGAAGAGACGTTGCAACATGCTTGATCTTGTGCCCAACCCAATTCACGGCGGCAACGGGGCCGACGTTCTTCTTCGCCACAGGTTTCATGAGTACACCTGAGAGACCCGTGAGATCCTCCCATTCGAAGGTCGCCTTGTTGACGCGCAGGGCAGAGCCGAGCTCCTCGTCGACGTCAACGGGACCGGGGACGACATCAGCAGTGAGGACATGCTGGATACGGGTGACGGCGGAAGCCGAATCCGCGATGGCGTTGAAGGCAACGGCTGCGAGCGATCAGCAACATGCCGCGAGTGACGAGAGCATACACTCACGCAGAGCTTGAAGTGGCGAGCGCAGAAGGTTGAAGAGCGACAGAGAGGAGAAGATGAGTGCTGGGTCCAGACCGTTGCCCGCTGCGGCATACGAGACGAAGGAGACGACGGCGGACAGGGTGGGGAGAGAGAAAGCCAGAGCGTTGTTCACGGCTCGCAGGACTAACCGCTGACGCAAGAACCTATGACGTATCTCAGTATGAAGAAGAAACGTGTGTACAGAATGAGAACGTACTTCATCTCCTCGTGACGGTACTCGGATATGCGTTTTGCGAAAGGTACCTGCAACACATCAGGAAAGGAGCCAGACCGAGAGTATGATAGAGAGCGCATACCTCCCAAGCAAAGAGCTTCACAAGGCGCATATTGCCCATGACCTCCGTAAGAAGCTTGATGCGCTTGTCGGTCCAAGTCATACTGCGCTTCCTAAGGAGCAGTTCAGACGCGGGATACGATCGTAAGCTCAAGTCCCTTACCGGAGTAGGAAGAGCTTCCCAGTCAGGTATGCCTGCATCGGCCCGCCCAGAAGGAACAAGGCGAAACCGGGCAAAGCGGCCCATCCCAAGTTGACACAGAGGATGACAAGGCACACGATGATCTGTATAGGACCGGTCCAAGCTTGATGGAAGAACGCGCAAGAGAAGTCAATGCGCGAGATATCGGAGGACAGCAACGTCGTAAGACGCGACGCAGATCCTATGCTCCAAGGTGAGTTGAAGTCGTCAGGGAAAGTCCTGTGGCACTTACCAATCTTGGCCATACCACGGTTGCTGAGGGACATGCCTTGACGAAAAAGAATGGCTATAAGGCCCGCCCTTAGGATGACACCGGTCGTGTACATCCTATAGTACGAGTGGCTGTTGGCCAAGAGGATAACCCAAAGCAGCGCGAGTAAACCGACGGCAAGTCCGACGCCTTCGCCGATTGGCGGCGGGTCGTCGACGTGGTAAGACTCCTTCGCGAAGTTGATGAGCGCCTTGACGAGCAGCGGGGACAGCATTTGGCCGACGTCAGCTGGATAGAATGTCAGTTCGAGCAATGAGGCAATGTGACGAGCTCACGGACCAACTAAGCGCATAAGTCCACCAATCCAGAACCAGGAGAACACGGCGTCGTTCATAGCCCAAAGCAGACTAGGTTCGTATGCCTCGGTCCATTCGCGTTCACGCTCCTCGAAGTCAGTGCGTCCTCGCAGACGCCACCAGAAAGCCTTGTGTCTCGGAGGTCGTGGAGGTGTTTTGCGGCGCTCAAACGCGTCGAGGATGCGTTGGGCATACACGCCAGCCGAGCGATCGTCCGAAAGTTGCCAGAGATCATAGCTCTCGAGAGGACGCGAGTATCCGACGCGCATGACACCGTACACCCAGCCGAAAGTTAGAGTCGACCACCAGGAGCATGATTGTTCGGGGGACGGCTGAGGCTCAGAGGGGACCTCTGGAGCCTTGGAAGAGACGAAGGGGACCTTGGAGCGTAAAGGTCTGCGCGGAATCGCGTCGAGCTCTCCAGGAGGGACAGCTGGCGAGGCGGCCATGGTGAGTGACGGCGCGAAAGCAAGCAAGTCTCGAGCGTGTCGAGGTGGCGACTTGTGCAGCCCAGTCCCGATACGGCATGCCTTCTACTGCTGGGGTACATGCTAGTAAATTTCTGCCGTCAGATCTAATCCGGCTCGGTGGATGTTCACTCTCGAGAAGCGACGCGCGGGGCCGGCGCGCTGGGGGCGTGCATCATATCAGATTAGGATCGTAATTGAGATATCCACGCGGTCGCTCTCCGCCGCGGCACATAGCGTCTTCCGATCGTCTCTTCCAACCCTCATCTGAGCCTGCGCTCGGGCCGTTACGAACCCCTTCTGGCGGCATGTCGACATCATACCGCAAACTCAGTTTGGGTGTCGGATGTTATACTCTAGGCTGTACGCCTTGAGCTGCTTCTTGAACCTACACCTATATACTTGTGCCATACCCGCGCCATCGCTGTAGTGACCAGCTTCTGGATCTCGCGAAGCAACCGTTCAATGGCGTATACCTTGTGGACTATACGAGTGGAGCACACAGCTCAACGCTGCATTGTTTCCGCCTTTCCGATGCGCACCGCACCGGTTTGACGTCTTCTCGCTGGCGACATTTCGTTGGCCTCATGCACTATTCCGGCTGGGCGTTGCCTGGACTTCCGGCACCCGACACGCAGACAACGATCTCCTCGATCTTCGCTGCGTATCTTCTGTCCTATCCCACCCCTCGATGCGTCTCCACGCGTGAACATTATTGCGGCGTCTGCGACCGGGTGTTCGCTGCCGGGTCATACCGGTCCAACGTCGTTGCACCGCGATTGACGTGCTATCAGATAATCATGTGTGGCCCCGATCGGCGGTATCCAGATCTTGGTCCATCACTGGCCCTTACGCAGAAGTCCCGAGTCCCGTGAAGCTCGAGGAATTTTCGACCCTACTTCCTGTACGGTCCGCTTGGCTCGTCAACGTACTTATTCTCCGGGTTCGACCGACCTCCAGCTTTCTCCACATTCCACCTCTTTCTCCCCTCGCAACGCTCTCTTGCACTTGCGCGTCATGTCGAGCAGCACTATCTACGATCTTGTCGGCGTTGGGTTCGGTCCCGCCAATCTTGCTCTCTCGGGCGCTCTCATTGACCAGTGGGATGATCCTTCTAAGGTTTGTGCCCTTCTTACACTTCTCACGTATACTTGTACTGATGTTTCGATCAGGATGTGCCACGCAAGATTGTCTTCCTCGAGAGGCAGGACAGCTTCCGCTGGCATCCTGGCATGTTGCTTCCTCACGCGCGCATGCAAATATCCTTCATGAAAGACCTCGCCACCCTCCGTGACCCGCGCTCGCCCATCACATTCCTGAACTACCTGCACGCCCACAATCGTCTCCTTCAGTTCATCAACCGCGGCTCTAGCACTCCCTCGCGTCGCGAGTACGCAGACTACCTCGGCTGGGTCTCGAGATACGTCCAGGAACGCGGCGTCGAGGCCCGCTTCTCTGCGGAGGTGGTGGCGCTGACTTCGAGCGAGGATGGCTTGGCGGAGGTCACCTATCGTGATACGAAGACGGGAGAGACGTCTGTCGTTCGAGCCAGTCAGTGCCTTAGCAGCTCCACTTGCAGGCGTAATGCTGACTTTCAATTCAGAGAACCTCGTCATCTCGCCGGGCGGGCGTGCCCGTATCCCTGCCGCCCTCGCACCTATCTTGCCACATTCTCAGGTGATCCACAGTTCGGTGTATGCTACGTCAATCGGGTCTATTTTTTCTGGCCTGTCTGCCCGCTCGCAGCCGCTTCGTATTGGCGTCATCGGCGCCGGCCAGTCTGGCGCCGAAGTGCTCATGGACTTGTACGAGCGCCTGGCGGACATCTCGGCGGGCCCTACGGGCGCTCGCCATCAACTCGACCTCATCTTCCGCAAGGGATCGCTCAAGCCCAGCGACGATTCGCCTTTCGCGAACGAGATCTTTGACCCTGCTAGTACGTTGTTGTGCACGCATATGGTACCACAACAGTCGCTGACGGCGCCCAGGCACGGACTTGATGTTTGACTTGCCTTCTTCGCGCGCGCGCCGCCACGTTGTTGAGGAGTACAAGAACACCAACTACGGCGTCGCAAATGCTCGTACCATTGACAATGTATGACATTATCCCCGTTCTGACATTCACGTCGTATACTCATAACCGGTTTCTGTCAGCTCTACGAGATCATGTACGCGCAAGGTGTAGAGGAGGACATCGCTGCACGCGAGGGTGCCGCGTTGACCAAGCCCAACATCACGCTGCACCCATACACCGCCATCGGCGCCGCCGTCTCCAACGGAGCCGACGTGCCCGTCGAGCTCACCCTGCAAGACGTTCTCACGCGCCACCCCGCCCGCCAAGCGTCCTACGACGCCATCGTGTACGCTACCGGCTACGACCGCACCGGTTGGCTCGAAATGCTGGCCGACTCCGGGCTTGGCGCGCACTTCGGTCTCGAGCGCAAGGTTCGTCCCCGCGACGTCGAGATCGTGCCCGTGCATGAGCGCACCGTACGGACGCCGGAGCCGCAAGTCAGCTCCGTGAGCTCGCCGCGCTCGTCGAGTCTGGGTTCTACCCCGTCAACTCCGCCCAGCGAGCTGGGCATCTCGCTCGAGGAGCCTATGGCTGGCAACAAGCTCTACGTCTCGCGCAGCTACCGCGTCTTGCCGGTGGACGACGCGCCTTCGCCCAGGGTGTACTTGCAAGGCTGCCTCGAGAGCACGCACGGCTTGAGCGATACGCTGTTGAGCGTTATGGGCGTGAAGGCGGGCGAGATTGCGCAGGACTTGATGCAGCACTAGACACTTTCTCTCCGTCTCACTTGGTTTGCTCGTAAAAGTATGCTAAGGACTCCTAAGGTGCTGTTCCTTCTACATGAACTGTATACGTAGTATCTCTCGGTAGTCTCTAGATTTTCTGGCTTGGGACAATATGCATCATCTATTTTTTGTCTTATACAAGACCGTGGGATCTATCAAGCAGTCTTCCTGTCGTCTCTTATGGCTCGTGCAACGTATGATATATGAACATTTGACACCCGTTCGTGGACGTACGGCAGTTGCCGAATAAGACTTGCCGCGGCGCGGCGCGGCTTCGTCGCCACAGCATGTCTTTATAATTTCAACCTCGACGTCAACTTGACCCTTTACTTAGCGCTGGTGGACAGTGTCTTCTTCGTCAGAATACATGATGCATTGCATCTTTTGAACTACTTCTACTTGATCATACTCTATGGCAGCCGTACTACCCTAATAGAATAAGCCCTCCTCGAAGAAACGTTGCCGGCGCAGTACGAAGTACACCGCCCGCTTATGCGGAAGGTCGAACGTCTACCGGAAGCTGTCAGCCTATGCAGCTCAATATGCTAAGAGACATAGACGTACGCGGTTGACCTCTTGCGGAAGAGCTTTGACGAGCTTAGGGATGATGGGCAGATCCGCCCTGGGTTCACCGACGACGACGTCCGTGCGCGGATCGCGCAGGAAGCACATGTGCTTCATGGAGGTCATGATAGCAGCGACTATAGTGGGTGCATCAGTGCTTTGTAGATGAATATATATACTAACAATACTCACAGCGAGTATGACCGCGGAAACGCTCTTCGCCGACGAGCAGATGCGTGCCTACGACTGGATGAGCATAGCGCTCGCGTCAACTTCAAGCACGCCCACCTTGGTCAAAGTCCCCAAGACCACCTACAAACGTGCTCATATGGTCCTCCTTAACCCAGCTCATCTCCCCATACCCAGCCAGCTCGCCGTCCCACTCCACCATAAAGCCCATAATATGCCGATCCTGCAGCCGCTCTGCCAAATACGAACGATGATGCTCCTCGTCGCCGCGCTCGCGCCAGCCGACGTTCACGCGGTCCGAGTTCTGCCAGCGGCAGTACGTCTCGAAGTGGCGCGGGTCCGCGGCGTTGATGTGCGTGAAGGAGAGCGTCTGGCCGACGGCGGCGATGTAGCGCGAGTACAGCTTGGTCCCTGGCGAGGGCTTGGGCGGGCGCAGGGGATGCAGCGCGAGGACGTTCGTTGCGCGGGTGAAGACTGGGACGGAAGGGAATGTCGGGAGCGGTGTGGCGGGGACTGGCGAGCGTAACCACGAGAGCTCAGGCGAGGCGCCGGCAGCTTGCCAGAACGATGCGCGGAGCAGGAGGACGTCGGTAGCGCCGTACGCGGCATCGTTGGGCGGGACGTACGCGAGACCGGTCTGGATCACGTAGGGAAGCGCGTTCGGCACCGCGGCGAGGGAAAGCGGGAGGTAGTCCGTGTCTGCGCGGCGAAGCCAGAGAGCGTATATGCAGGCCCAGATGTCGGCCGTGCTGAGCTCTGCGCCTTCAGGCCGAAGCTCCAAGACAGGATGCTGCTCGGCGCGGTCATCGTTGATCACACCGTGGAGGCTGGTCCGCAGCGAACGCTCAAGCGCCACAAATGTCGCCACAGGCTTCTCGCCACCACGCAGAGTAACAGCAATGGACCCATCGTCCTTCAGAGCTGCAGAGACAGGAGTCTCATCCGGAAGGCGAAACTCGAGCGTTGCAGGGATATCGACCTTCTCAGGCGCGTAGGCGACAGCGTAGTTGATCATGTCGGGCAGCAGTCGAGCAGCGGGGGATTTTCGCGTACATTCGCTCGTCCGTACCGCCCTTTTCCCTTTCGACTGCTCGAACCCGCCCGTCATTGGATAGGCTTGGCAAATCTAATCAGATACGCAGCCCACGGCCCGCTGCCGGCAGCCCGCGCGAAGATTGTCTTTCGGTCCCATATCAGATTAGTGCGCCCGATCATCGAGCGCCCGAGTCGCACATGCGCCTGCGTACCGCGACGGTCCTGCTCGGCATGCCTCATGCCTCAAAGTTCTCGCCATGCGCTACCGGGGCTTTTGGGATGGACATGCGGGCATGCGGTTGAATGGGGTGATGCTTACATCGGACATCGGCACCACAGTCGCCATCGACGGCAGCGTTGGATCTTTGGAAACATCTCCATCTCCATGTAAAAATCAGTTGACTTTGTGTTCTGTCGTTCGTCCCGACTCGCCCCAGACCTGAAAAGCCATGGCGATCGACGCTGCGCCGAAGAGTTTCGTTTACACCCACCCTGCTCCTGACCTCCCTGGTGTCCATTGTCTGGCGCTGAATCGACCAACGGCTCGCAATGCACTCAGCGTTGCTATGGTCCGTGAACTCGCAGAGGCACTCGACAGCATAGCCAGCAATCGCGGGTCGGTGCTCTACTCATGGCGTCATAGCCTCATCCTGACTTCAACAGCGTCCATGCTCTGATAGTCTACTCGCCACACTCTGCCTTCTGCGCCGGCGCTGACCTCCGAGAACGCGCGAGCATGTCTCCGAACGAAGTCCGCGACTTTCTCGACATGCTGAACGAGACCATCGCTTCTCTCGAGGCGCTCGACATACCGACCATTGCCGCCATTGACGGCCCTGCGCTTGGCGGCGGACTCGAAATGGCGTTTGCTTGCGACTTTCGCGTCGTGGGTAAGTCCTCCTCCTTCCTATAGCGATGTAACTCTTCTGAAGTACCCAATAGGCCGCGACGTGACCAAAATGGGTCTACCGGAGTGCACTCTCGGTATCATCCCTGGTGCAGGCGGCACCCAGCGCGCGCCGCGCCTTCTCGGCCGGACGCGAGCGAAGGAATTGATCTTCACCGGTCGCATGGTCGACGCGCGCGAAGCCAAAGAGATCGGTATGTATCGTCTAGTCCTGTACTGGTTCGACCCTGTGACCGACCGTCTCGCCTTCTTCAGGTCTAGTCGACTACGTCGCGAACGAGGGACAGACCGCATACGAATGTGCACTGGAGCTTGCCGGGCGCATGAGCCGGAGTGGTGCGTGCCTTGTCCTTCTCGGTCCTTCTGGTCTTGAACTCTGAGTCTGACGCTGTGTATGTATGGTAGCGCCACTCGCTCTGCGCGCCGCCAAACGGGCCATCGGGCTCTCCGAATCACTCAGTCTCGCGGAGGGTCTGCGGGCAGAACGCGCCTGCTACGAGCCTCTCCTTTCCACGCGGGATAGGCGCGAGGCGCTCTCCGCGTTCGGCGAGAAACGGCCCGCGCGGTTCGTTGGGATGTGAGGGAGATCGGGTCTGTGTAGGGTAAGGTACACGGTTGTTTCTAGTCTTCTTTTCATCTGGACTTGACGGAACACTACGGGACTGGTACGGTGTCCGCGCTCTGTATGAGTACGTTACTCCAAAAATCACGGCGCCGGCGACGGCGTCGATGCTTGCGATCTGCTGTATAGATCGTTGCGCAATCTGATATGATATGATCTCACTGGTGGCTCATCGAGTCCACAGTGTGGAACGATTTATGTGTACTGATGTTCTTCTTGGTACCTAGACTATTCCCATTGTTCCTGATATGAGCGTGACGTGGTAAGGACCATGGTGTCCGAGTATTCCGTATCGCCCTTTGAACTTCTCTCTGCCCACATTCACAACTTGCTCCTCAGCCCGCGCATGACGCGCCAGCCGTTCAAGCTCACGTCTCTTTGCCTCCTCGTGTGGCTTGTACCTGAGAGGAACAGGGTCTCCAGCGTACCGTACAGGGCGAAAGAAGACGGAAGACAGCGGTTGGAGCGCGTTTATGCCATGCTATAACTTTCCATTGTTCAACTGGGCCACTCGTAGCGTCTCGTAGAACGGCAATGAAGAACTTGGACGTGGGAGACAAGTTCTGACGCGGTTTCACCTTAGAGCCGAAAGCAGCGATCAGGGTTAGGGTTAGGTCGCAATTCGCGTTCAAACATCGATATCTGTCGCAAGTTTTCATCGGGTATCGCATCTGCTATACTCCTTGTACTCGTGCTGGATAGTATATAAAGGTCAATGCTATCTGCTGGGATGTAGGTTCAAACGTTCAATTCTCGTGTAGTTTAAATTACTGCGGGCATACAGAGTACATTCGTCTGATTTCTTCGAACAAGCGCGGAGAGTGAGTATATGGCCCTAGACAGAGACGAGTCTTCACATCAAGCATACATAAGACATTGGCGTCTTCCTACATAGTTATCGTACATCCGTATCCCGCGACTCATGCGTAACACACAAAGACCAATGTGTAGTCGCACATCAATCACCATATCGCGGGGGAAGCTCGTCCTGCTGGGGCCCGCGTAGCACGTTTCGCAATTGTTCGACTAGTACGGGAAGGGCAATGGCGATCTCACGCCTCGCATCGTGAGGCCGGTCTGGTCTGCGAGTTGTGTCACGCGTGTTGGGCACTGGCTGGGGAACTGGTGGCGAAGAGGTGTTGCCTTGATTCAGTTCGTTCATGCGCTGGAACTTGTTTGAAGGTGGGTTTTGCGCTATACGTGAGATGAACGGTTCAACTAGTCTGATCCCGTAGGCATCAAGGTCACCCTCAGAGGCGTCCCGCGCTTCTTTGATTCTTCGACGGCGGCACAAGAAAACGATCGCGATGATGACGGCGACAGCTACGACGCCGCCCACTGCGCCCCCGGTGATGGCGCCAGTGTCGTGAGACTTCGCAGAGACAGGCCCGGGTGTCCCGTTTGGTGTCTGAGGGATCATAGGGGAGCTGCTGGTCATCGGTCCGCATCGTTATCGTGTGAGTTCAATGCCATATGAGGAGATAATGTGACTACTGACGCTGAAGGCTCGACGAAGCTGAAGGCAGGGTTCAAAACATCCAAAGCGGCTATATTACCACCAGCTTCGGTGTACGACCTGAAAAGAAGTTATTGAGCTCTCTCCCATCTGTACTGGTAAGGAAGAGGTATATATACGTTACAGGAGGGCCTGTCCATGACGTTGAGTAGGCACTGTTGTCAGGTGCTCGAGCATAATCTAATATGGAGTTCAACTGTGATGCCCGATTAACATCCATCATCACGAAGCAGAAGCGAAATCCAACCTGCACGTAGATATACGCTTCAATGTAACTGGCCAGAGCCGATCCAGGATTTCGTCTGTGCGCCTCAGCAAGACCACGAATGTAGATTCCTTTGAGAGCTGCATTCGTTGGATCCGATGTGACTGAAGGCTCGAGATCTGCCAATCCTGTATTAGGCATCCTGCAGTTTACCGATCATCGCAGGCACTTCTACGGACCGTTTACAACACTGCCTGGCAATGTCCAAGAAGGGGACGTTGTGACATTAGTCACCACCGTCTCGAGACTGCAGACACAAGAGTATCGGTACCATGCAAAGCGCGCCATCGCGAAAGGTGCATACAACGTTGTCAGAGTACCATTCTTGGTCACATTTGCCCACACTGACAGGCCTTTACCAGTTTCAGAGCCAATTATCAAGTGTCACGATGAGTGGCATGTGCTTACCTTCCACAAACCAGCCTTGATTCATCGAGAAGGGCCTGACCATTATGCCACAGTTACCCAGGTACCTAGTGTCATAGACCAACGTTCCATTCCATAGATAGTTGAGGATAAAATCCAACGAGAGTTGCGCCGTATCGTGATAGGTCACATTCTGAGTCTTTTCAAACAAGTACGCCGACAGCCTAGTCATCTCATAATCAGTTCCGGGTATCGAAAGAGGAGATGACGAATCTCGTACGTCATGAATGTCCCAACCGTCTCCATATTCACAGCCGTACTCGTATCAGCCCTCTACGTAGAAAGTTGATCGCAATCAGCGCCCGAGCACCGCAGCTGGCAGGATTGACTTTGGCTCTTACATAGAACACCGCCCCGGCAAAAGTCCCTGTTGGATCGATCAACATATTGGCACCGAATCAAAGCAGTATCAATTGCTCACCGCCTGTGCAATTACTGCTAGGAGGAGATGTCACATTACGCCCAGCTCCGCTATTGGTAACGGCGGCGGCGGGGTCGATGAACCCACCGCTATGAGCAATGTTCCAAGCATCAATTGCGATTTGTAAGAGGACATCCTCGTCGTATACTCGATGCGCATAGAAGAAAGCGAGCCCCCAATGCATCACGTCGCTGTAGATTTTGTACTTTTCGTCGAAGAATCCGTTCGATCCTTGGACTTCGAGAGGCAGCTTTTCAGTCACCAGGTCCTTCCACGTTCCATTTCCACTGTAGAAATCTTGCAGGGCGAGCACAGCGTAGAGACCAGCGACCTGTTGTATGCGGGGCAACCCTACGGAACGTTCAATGAAGCACTCGCGAAGCATTGCATTCAGAAGCGCATGCCTGCTGTCCCGATAGAGATCGGTATTTTTGAAAGCGGGTATGCTGCATCGTAAGCGATGCCTTCGCGCACCTCGCGGCTGAGATTGGAAAGGGGTTTCTGTATGGTCACTATTTTTTTTCAATGTATTTCGATACGAGTTTCGGAGACGCACGCGCCAATTTCCGGGTATTGTGAGGTTCTGGGCTGCCACCGCTTGCACGCCGACCCAGACATAAACACCATAAACGAAGAGTAGCGAGCCTTTGAGAAGCGTGAATAACATGGTGAGGAGGAAGAACTGGTGATCGGTTGGGAAGGTCGGAAAGAGAGACACAACGGTTCCTCGTGGGATGTCGGGAAGCAAGCCGCGCCTGTTAAAGAGGATTCAAGCAACGATGGGGATCATACGTTCATGGGAACTAGCCTAGATGAAGACAGGATGTAGGCAGCACACCCAATACAGGCGATTAAGTCAGACGGCAGCGAACGTAGGTCAACAGACGACAAAGGACCTGCGGCCTGCGGAAGCGTGCGATATTCACACAAAATATTAAGAGAGTTGCTAAGCCGGCGACGTATTGGAGCGCCGTTTCATATTCCAGTGTCAAGCAGTGACAGATCATCTTCTACGGCGCGACTGATATGTACGCCAGTGAATAGCAGTGTGTGACCTTGAGCACCGCCGCTCGACAACTGGCTCAGCGCAGTGCTTATGCACGGAGAACCCTAGCACGGAGAACCCTGTCATTCTGACGAGTTGGCCCTTGGTCATGCGAGTGGAGCAGAAAGCCAGCATAGCAAGGACGCGCAGCACTGATTCTGTTGGTCGTGTGCGCCGGTTCATGATGACGGCGAAGAATAAGAGGGCGCTCACGGCGTACGAAGGGGCCGCCATCACCGGGATCGTTCCCACGTTTATCCAAGCTTCGAAGCTCGGGTCGATGCAGATGTCTCTTGTCCACATTGACCACTCTGCCCATGCTCTCTCGCCTGAAGTAGACTTGAAGCGTGAAGCTATGAAGCCTTTGGGTTAAGAGGACTCTCTGTCATCGAAATTATGCTCGCTCAGCTGATGATCAACGTTCGCCAACGTGTCAAGCTTTAGGCCAAGCGCTAGTAGGAGGCTGACAAGATCATAAACCATAGTGGTATTCGATAGTGATACGGTCGTGTAGGATGCAACATGATTGCGCGAGCCTTCTACTTGACATACTGTGTAATCGCATCCTGCTCTTTACCAAATAACTCCCTCAAACACTCCTCTGTCCCTCTCGCGCGACGTCCAAGGATATCCTCCAGCGCAGAACTCACGATGCCTGTCTCTCCGCGTGCCGTCGCCACACCGCTCGTTGCAACGTTGCGTCAGAAACGCGGGTGCCCCGACCCATGGTAGCGTAGTACCATTTGTGTGTTGTTCCGCGTACTCGACTTCGCTGATGATGTGCAACCACAACGACCGAGGGAGGGCAGCGGAGCACAACTGAGTGGTCTGCGTCTGTGTGCGGACGTTCTGCACCGGACCCAGAGAGTAGCACGATAGCGTCAGGATATCCGATGTCTATGGGAACCGAGTCAATAACCTCAGATGATACAATGGTGCAGAGGCATATACAATCTACTTGTCACCAGCTATACCGTCGTTGCACCCTTTTCGCCGAGTTCCATCGACTACAGCAGCCATCATAGCCTGTGTACAGCCCATGATCCTATCTATACATACAATCCACGCATGTGCACCAAAGGCCGCCGCGAGCGCCAGTGCGCGTCGAGTCCGAGCCTTCGCCAAGGTCTCCGCAGGTCTTCGAGCCTCGGCCCGTAGATCCGTTCGGCGTTCGACAGGCCTCCGCCGTGAAGTCCGTTTGCGAAGCGCTCCGAGCATCTTCACTCTCAACTACCACCATCCTCCTCGTCTAAACTATGGTCGAGGTTAAGAACCACGTCTGCCTGATGCATGTACTCTTTTCAGTAATTCTCCTTCGCTAGTTAACGATCTATGCAGCGTCCACGATGGTTGGGGTATCGCGGCCGAGAAGGGCATCAAGGGCAACGCTATCGAGAATGCCGATACCACGAACATGGACAAGATCGCCAGCGAGCACTCCTCCCGCGAGCTCGCCGCCCACGGCACCGCCGTCGGTCTTTCCGAGGGCCTAATGGGCAACTCCGAAGTCGGGTACGCGCACTTCTTTCTCTCCAACAATTCGCATTGTTTACTTATCTCAATGTTAAGACACTTAAACATCGGCGCCGGCCGTATCGTCTGGCAGGACATTGTGCGCATCGACGTCGCGATCAAGAAGCGCCAGTTCCACAAAAACGAGACTATTCTCGAGAGCTTCAAGCACGCGAAGGAGACGAACGGCCGTCTGCACCTCGTCGGCTTGGTGCGTTAACTCCTTCTATGTCCGCACGTACATCATCGCCTAATACATATCTCTCACGTATAGGTCTCTGACGGCGGCGTGCACTCGCACAACAGGCATCTCTACGCGCTTCTCGAGACCGCCAAGGAGGTCGGCGTTCCCGAGGTGTACATCCACTTCATCGGCGATGGCCGCGACACCGCGCCGAGATCTGCCGCCGGCTACGCCAAGGAGCTTCAGGAGTTCATCGAGAAGGAGAAGGTCGGCGAGATCGCGACCGTCGTCGGCCGTTACTACGCTATGGATCGTGATAAGCGCTGGGAGCGTGTCAAGATCGCAGTCGACGGTCTCGTCAAGGGCGAGGGCGAGAATGCCGATGATGTCGTTAAGGCTATTGAGGAGCGTTACAAGAAGGATGAGACGGATGAGTTCTTGAAGCCTATCATTCTCAACGGTGACAAGGGCAGGATCAAGGGTACGAGAATTCCTTGCGCTACGCGATCTAGTGTTGACAGCGTGTCCCAGATGATGATACCATCTACTTCTTCAACTACCGCTCTGACCGTATGCGTGAGATCGCCTCCGTGTTCGGTCTTCCGGACAAGCCCATGGAGGTTGAAGTCCCCAAGAACCTCGTAAGTAGTCCGATTTCTGTTAGTAGAGCGTCATGCCTGACTGTTGGGTCTAGCATATCACCACAATGTCGCGCTACAACGCCGAGTTCCCCTTCCCCGTCGCATACCCGCCCCAGGCCATGACCAACGTCCTCGCCGAGTGGCTCGCGAAGAAGGGCGTCAAGCAGGCGCACATCGCCGAGACGGAGAAGTACGCGCACGTCACGTTCTTCTTCAACGGCGGCGTGGAGAAGCAGTTCGAGTCGGAGGAGCGTCATATGATTCCTTCGCCGAAGGTCGCGACGTACGACAAGCAGCCGCCGATGAGCGTGCAGGGTGTTGCGGATAAGGTCGCGGAGGTCGTCAAGTCCAAGAAGAACGAGTTCGTTATGTGCAACTTTGCTCCTCCGGACATGGTATGCGCAGATTCACACTGTCTCCGTTCATCTTACCAACTCAATTTCTGGATAGGTTGGCCACACCGGTGTGTACGATGCCGCAGTAGAGGCCATCGGCGCGACGGACAAGGCCGTCAAGACCGTCTACGAGGCATGCCAGGAGGCAGGCTACATCCTCCTCATCACCGCCGACCACGGCAACGCCGAGCAGATGCTCAACCCCGACACCGGCGCCCCGCACACCGCACACACAACGAACAAGGTTCCGTTCATCATGACGGGCGACCCGAAGAAGTACAAGTTCACCGTCGACAAGAAGGACGGTGAGGAGGAGGAGGGCGCCCTGTGCGATGTTGCGCCTACTGTGCTTGATCTGCTGGGCTTCGAGAAGCCAGAGGGTACGTATCATTTTCTCCGTAGGCGCTGGGAACTTGTGTTGACGAACGTTCGTGCAGATATGACCGGCCGCTCGTTGCTTGCGCACGACGCGTAGACGGAGAAAAAGTAAGACGATGTAGAAATATAATGTACACGACCATGTAGACAACACAATGCTTTATAGACTGTATACCGTACGCACTCAATAGGATCTGCAGGCCTGAGAAGCGCGGCGGATGCCGCTGTTCTCTTCGCGCGCAATCAGCGAATCGCAGAACGTGCTGTTTACTCCGAGCGCCTAGAGATAATCTTGATTGGTTCTTCGAGCTGTGACGCTTGATACACCATTGAATGGCCACGATTGACACCGCTGGGGACAATCCTACTTCTACAAATCGCCTTGGAAGAACATAGCGACCCGGGTGCAGTCTTACATCGGGCCGGCGGAGTGAGCCAATGAGCTGAGAGGCACTCGATTACGTTGATACTGATCTAGGTAGCGTGGGCGACTCAATTAGGCTTTATATCGCTATGCGGGCACTGCTGCGTGCCTCGCGCTCTAGCGAAGATGCAGCAGGGGATGCGTCTATGGATCGGCCAGGACCCGAAGCCCTGCAAACGTCTGCTCCGACCGTCATCTCGACTTACTAGCGGACTGCTGGTGCGCCCTTCCGCGCGCAGGCCATGTCGTCCGCCAGCGACGCGGTTGCGCTCCAGGAGGCGACCGAGGAGCTGTGGCTTCGGGCCGTCCCGCTTTTGGTAGAGAGCATACTATTCGTGCGTCCCCCCCGCTTCATTTGTCCAATGAAGATCACGCTAACTTGGCCGACGTCAGGGAGTCTTTTCTTTGCTCTTTTTGGCATCCGCGTATCTACTCTGGTACGTGTACCCCGCCCTGGTATCCATTCATGCTGTCTGACAGCCGCATCTCGGTGATAGGCAGCGCGGGCTGAAGCTGTGGACGAACGCGGTGATGCTGGGCGCGGTCGTGGTCATGTATGCGAACTCTCTGGCGTACCTGCTCGTCGACTTCATCTCGTTCTTGAATACTGCGAAGGATCCCGTCGGCCACTATGAGACGTCCCCCGCCGAGTTCAAGCGCCAGTCTATTGGGATCACTCTCTGTCTTGGCTTGAACGTGCGCTCTGTTCATACGGACTTTTGGACCCCTATTGACTCGCCACCGTAGTTCTTGTTGAGCGATGCTATCGTTCTGTGGCGGGCCATCATCTTCTGGTCCGGCAACAAAGTCATCATGTACATCTCTATCGCCATGCTCTCCGCTTCTCTCAGTGAGCATCCTACACCGCACCTCACCGCTGCACACGCTGAACCTATCTCCCCTGTAGTCCTGGGAATAGTCGACCTTGCAACGGACAGAAATGACCTTTCGGAATGGGGTGGAACGCCAGTCTCTACGAAGATACCCCAAGCGACGATGAACGGCTTCGGAATTGCTATGATTGTTGTATCATTCTTGGCGAACCTCTGGGCAACGGGACTCATGGCGGTGAAAGCCTGGTACCGTCGTCCCTCTACCGTTTCAGCGCATGGACTCTGATATCTACTGCAGGAAGTTTCGCCAGCTTGTACGAGCATCAGGAAATCGGCGCGCGGGCGTACGCTTTCTCTTCATGCGCTTTCTTCAGATCTTGTCCGTAGCTGGTGTCGCCTATAGCGCTCTATGGGTACGTGCCACGAGGATCCATCAATGAAATAGCGCTCACGATTCTATAGATAGCTTTTATCGGTATATCTATCAACGCGACGACCACCATGGCAAGCATCATCTGGCAGCTAGCCCTGGAGAACGCGGTCACTATGTGCACGGGCATCTATCCCACGTCTGTCATCGCTCTGGTTAGCCTGCAGATCTACGGCTCTAACGTCGCGGATTTGGAGAGGGCGTCTCCTGGTGGCGACGGACACGCAGGGGCGCATACTCTGACACGTACTGCGGACATCGATCTTCACCGGACCGGACCGGCGTACACTGTACACACAGAGCTACCGGATTCATCGTCCTCGCGGAGTGCGGCGCAAGAGAAGTCCAGTGCCTGGGACGACATCCAATTGAGGCCATACGCGACGCAGTCGTCGAACGCGGCTGGCTCGAGCTCGGATGCGGGGAGTCATGGCCTTTCTGCGAGGAGGTAACATAGGCTCAGCGCGGGTGCGCTGGTTTGTTGTACTGTATATCCGCCTGTAACGCCATGACGGCTTCACGCATCTCAATGCACGCACATGCTACCGCAATGCTTCATGTCATACGTAGCGACATGAATAGCTTAGTACCAGCTTACGGACTTTCCCTGGGTTAACAATCGAATATGTACTCATAATATGGAGGTGCGCAACGCCCGCGGAGCGGGCGTTGCGCGCCGACAACTTTCCCACACAGCTAAAGCCGGTTTTGCGCCGGTCGTCACCGTCTGCGGGCTCGCGCTACTGTATATCGTACTTTTTGAACTTTCTGAAGAGTGCAAAAGCTTTGCACGTACCTGAGGAGGATGTGTGCCAAGTCTGGTACCCGTGCTTGCACAAGAGGCTCTTACAAACGTCCCGTAACAGAGGTGTGTCTGCCTATCAGAGGGGCATAGCTGAGTGGGCCCGTAAGATATGATCCAGTGAGACTTAAGATACCGGGATTTTGTGAGGTGTACTCATCAGTACTGGTTCAAGGATGCACGCAAAAAAATTGCCGTGGCTCTCAATGGTATCCGATACAAAATGCAACTCTGAGGCCTGATGCGAGAGCTCGGTCGAGGCTCGGGGTTGGTTCGGCAACGGCCGTTCACTCTCGCCGGAGTCCAGCGTAAGCTCTCAGTAGCCTCCCGTTCGCAATCGGATGGTAGAAATGGTCCTATACTATGGCTATGTATGTAAGGTATGTCTCAAAATAAGCTACAGGTTGACGAATGGCACATTAATGGACAGATAAGCTATACAAGAGCAGACCATACTAATAATGAGACTAGGCCTCATCCTCGGTATCGTACTCTACGGGCAGCCGATCTACGGCAAACCCGGCTTTGGTGATAACAGACTGGAGAGTGGTAGACGTCGCAGCAAATGCTCCGATCATGGAAGAGGTTGCGAGAGGAGATGAGCCGGGGAAGGCGGCGGCAATCTGAGACCTGTTGAGTACAGTCAGTTTCGGTATGGATTCCTAGGTCAAAGAACGTACGTCGATGCGGAGAGCTGCATGCGGCCCAAAGCTTCGATAAGAAGCCTCTGCAAGTCCGCTTTATTATACTTACTGAGGGCAGGTACGTCCTTGTCCTCGCGAATGACCTTGTGCCAATTCAACTGATCAACGAGTTTGGCCTTTGTCATCCCATCTGCAGCCACAGCATCCTTGTCTAGTAAAGGGATGATAGTGTCTATATGATCCCGTTTCTTCCGAGCGACGGTGGCGCGGTGCAGTTGCTTATCGCGGGTTGCTTGTGCCTTCTTCGCCTCGTGTTCAAGAAGAGCTCGACGAAACTTCTTTGCGTCACCGCGTGCATCCTGCTTCCGCGCGAGCTGCATGATGTACTGCTGTATCGTGTCAGTGCTGAGATAGCGCCGTGCGAAGGCCTCCGTGTCGTTCTGAGCGTAGGTCACTCCGTCGGAGAATGTGCGGGCTGAGGCATTCGGATTGAGACGAATGAACTTCCGGATCTGTCCGAGAAGACTCTCGTTGTCGTCGTTTTCTGCCGGTATGTAGCAGAGCAGACGCTCGGAAGAGGTCATCGCGTCGAGCTGAAGGCCTCCTGCAAACTTCTCGGTGAAGCGATCCCAGCAGCTGCGTGCCTTGAGGAGGCCTTGGACGAGGAGATGTCGGAAGGCAGGGAGTGAAGGGATAACCTGCGCGATGGCCTCGATCGCGTGCTGATCTTCCCACTTGTCGCCAAATAGGACACATTGCTTTCCACGGGTAGCTAGTCCGGGTGAGCAGAAGAGCGTTGTGGCGTTGTAGATGACGTGATCGAGATGCATGAGGATCTCGTCGTAGATCGGGCCACAGTCGGCGTAGTTCAATCGGGGCTTCGTCCGCTGTCCATCACTGCCACGACGTCCACGTCCGCGTATAGCACGCATAGCTGGCGCAGAGATGAGCATGTAGTAGAGCGCCATGCATGCCAGCTCCGTGATCGTCGCAGGATCGTTGAGTGCAGTATACACGTTATGCTCAATATTGGTCATGCGAGGGTCCCCCTTACGGTCGCGCGCAAGCTCTAGAAATCGGCGGTACTCGGGGGGGAGCTTGATGACCTCAACAGCGGCCAACAGATACGATTGATAGCGGATGTGGCTTGTGCCAGGGAACTTCACGCTCGTACACTCGCCCCACTTCTCGAACTTGATCTACACGAATGTATGCACCTCTGATCAACACAGGCCCTTCTGAATCACAACAGGGATAGCTTACCAGCTCGAAGAACCATCGGTGAAAGTCCTGGTAGCCGCGTTTGTCGTCTTTATTATTGCATAGAGCTCCAAGTAGACCACAGAACTTGACACCTCCGTGCTTGCTCTCGGCAATGGCCTGTTTAGCTGCTGACCCCCCCGGGACATCGGCGTCGATAGCTGCACGGTTTGCCGCATTGGGTAGAAGACAAGGCTTGGGCATTGCAAATACAAACACGACGGGACTATCATATCCGTCGCTCATGCCATCGCAGAACGAAGAATCTGCGTTCATAACTTTGTGGCTCCCACAGCCAGCGATGATGAACAGCTCATGTTGCTTGCGTTCTTCTGGCGACAGGCCATCGAATGCATCGGCACCGAGATGCAAGGCTAGGTGAAGATGCGCAACTTCCTCCCAGCCGATGGTGAAGTCAGCAGGCAAGGGACGTCGATCCGCGATCATCTTCTCGACGTCCTCATCAGAGATGCGCGAGAGCACCGCGAGTCCTAGGTCCTTCTTGACCACCATCATCCTCTTCTCCTCGCACTCACGCCCCAATCCCTGCCCATCGGCAGCATGGTCTGCCATTTTCCCTCGGACGACACGCCATAGATCCTCCTGTAAAAGCTGTAGGTGAGCTCGATTTGATCTCGCACAATGCACCATGACTGACACTACAGTATTCGACACCGATCTCTGCAGCAATTGGCCTCAAGATCCTCTCGAGCTCTTCGTCCAGCTTCTCCCAGGATCCCAGCTGCGTGAGAATCGTGTGGTTGAACAGCGCCGAAACGTCTACAACTCGAGTCTTGTGTGTGTAGGCAGAGGGATCGGCACCTGGCTCGTATGACGGCACCTCAAGGGTGATATGGCGGGCCATGTGCGAGATCCCGCCCAGAGACGTACAATCGTCGCTCAGAGTGAGTCCCCTCTTTCGTTCTGGGCATTCTGGTCAGTAATACAGTCCACCGATTGACGTCTCCGCCTCAGGAAACACACCTTTTGCCTGTGCAATCTCGAAGGCCAGCTGAACCTTCGCCATCAAGCCACCCTCCATCTTGATACGACCCACGCTACGCCGACTGATCTTTCGGGGCACCTTGCCACCATATGCCTCGGCGATGCGCTCGAGAACGGTCCCAATACGCGCGGGAGCACAGCCACACGTCTCAAGTGCACGCACAAGCTCCCGTGCCTTGAACGAATACGCGCCCCGAGGATTCGTGAGCCACTGGCCACTCAATTGGCTCTTCATCCGCTTCAATGTCGTCGAGTTCGCCTTCGCGCGCGCACCCGCTCGTCGAGCGCGCATATAGTGAGCTTTTGCGCGCTTACGTGCGCTCGCAATCAAGGCGTCCTTCCGCGCGAGATCCTCGGTCGCTACAGCAAGTCGTGCAGACAGTGAGTCTCGCTCTTTCTGTGTACTTGTCTCTGACTCGATAGCCTTCTGTAGCCTGAGAGAGAGCTCTTTAGTAGCCTGCGCCGCCATTTCAGCAGCTCGTGCCGCCGCTTTCGTGGCTTCCACACGTATAGTGCACTTGTCGCGCTTGAGGCGGGTCTCGCGCGCCCTGAGTCGTGCGCATTCCGCTTCCATACGTGTTACATGCTCGCGACACTCTGACAGCTCCTCTTCATGAGCCCTACTTGCGGCACCTTGCACCGAGAGCTGTGTCGACAGTGCACCGACATGTGCCAGAGCCGCATCGCGCTCGTCGTTGGCCACACGTATCTCGTCCGGTGGGGCGTGGACGGCGACCGGGGCGCCCTCTCTTCGGCGATGCTTGCGAGGAGGCTGCTCCGTGTCCTCATCATCTGACGATGCACTTGGCGAGTCGTCATCTGCTTCGAGGGTAGGTTCACGGTCTCTGGCCGTGCGTTCTAGTTGCACTCGTCTGGCATGTCGGGCGCGTTTCTTAGCTCTATAGCTCGCACCCATCCCAGTGGTATCAATCGAGAGGGGTATGCATCGGTGAGCGGAGCCTGGCGGAGGAGTGGTGGTTGTGAGTGGGCGGTGCTAGGCGAGTACGCGGTCTCGCTAGCAACGAAGAGGTATTTCATCGCGCTCGCGTGGGCCGAGTGGCACCAGCGTGCCGCGTGCGAGCTCGCTCTGAGCGACCGGTTCAGTGTAGGAGATTGATAAATTTTTCCAACACTCCTAAAAGACTCAGTTTATTTGTGGTATTACCTGTGAAGGCTCCCCACAGCCCCGGGCCGGGAATTATATTCTATCGTCTCGCACCAGCAGCTTTGTGCCTCGAGATTAACACGAAGTTTGATGGCTACTCTAAGCGTGAATACGAAATTTCAGCTTCTTATTTGCTGGTGAATGCAAGCAGCAGGTAGCTAAGAGTACTTTTGCGACATTGACGTCGGTATTAGTGTGTGAGGGACCTGCTGACTGCAGTCGACTTCGCGGCACATCTACGCGCGGCCCACTCGGACGACGCGGTACATGCCTCACCGGTCGTCAGTTTGATCCCACTTCCTGTACGTTTCTGCTCCCCAAATTAATTTACACTCAACTTCAGATGCCAAAGAAGAGGTTCACCGTTTCCTTTTTCGCGAGAGTCTTACTTTTCTCGTCTTACGAATGCACCAACATGGGCTATGTAGCTGATGCAAGGGAGGGCTTGAAACTCAACAAGAGAAAAATCCGGCGCCCGGGGATGTCGAGAGTGCTATTAACTACCCGTATGAATTTTTTGGTAAGGCTAACATGGAGGACGAACACGATCAATCTCGTGTACTGAGGGAACTTTCGACGACGAGACGCGGCCGTGCAGGAGGCCGTGGGAAGCAGTCGGTGCGCAACGCCCCGCTCCGC